GGCTTGTTTTTCACTAAACAGGAAATGACATCACAATTTTCAATATCTTGTTTTATAAACTTTAAACGTGAGAAATAATAATGCTAATGACATGGTAAAATAATAATGTTACACATAACAAAGCTAAACTAAAATTCCAAAAGTTTGAACCTATATCCTCTCAACCTTTAACCACCAAAATTTAATAGTATCAATCCTCCTAATACACAAGCCTCCTTGCAAAATTTCAGAAATTTTCAACAAAACAGGAGTTATTAAATTTCCAAGTGGGTAAACAAAATCATGCTCCCCAAACACAAACACCCATATATAAAAATACAGCTATTGAGACTGGACAATCACTGATCTAGTGATATGATACAGATTATTTTGAAATCTAAAAGAATAAAGGAATGATCAGTTGACAGATTAGACCTCAAGATGATAACCTGACATACTGTAGCTCCTTAATGAAAGCAAAAAGACTAATAAAGTGAATTTTTGATTTGGTTTCCCAGCATTAGCTGTAGACCTAAAGTTTTAAAGCGGAAAGAAGTCAGACTGACTCTCCAAAAAAGCAAAAATGATCACTTGGAAGGCTTAACTTCCTTTTCAGAAAAATTTCTATGATGTTCAGGTTTAAGCAATAAAGTTGACTTTTCCTTGTCCCACAATCTATTTTTGGTATGGCTGCATGTCAACGGGTGCAAATCTTTGTTATATCTGATACACTGCTTCGTAATACTATGTAACATCTGAACATTTAAGCATAGATTTAATAATATTGGAGATTCAAGGAAACAGAAAAGTTTACATTAATTGATAATTTGCAATGATGAATCTCATTATATGTTGGCTCAACTGTATGTGAATTTGTCTGAAGTCACTTTTTGACTTTTTGTTTATAATCCTACAAATCCAAACTTTATACCAATCTGAACAACTCCATACAATGAATAGTTCAGACTAGTGAGAGTATACTGTAATTGTTTTTAATAGCTTAAGATCCAATAAAATTATTTTTAATAACTGAAATAAAAAATGCAAACTAAAGATAATAAATTGATTTTATTACCTGATTACATGATAATTTTTGTTTGTTCTAGTAAGTAAATTCCAAAAAGGCAATTCTAAATGAATAAAATAAAAGTTTAATTAAATCTGTTAAAAAATAAATTCTTAAAGAATATTCATTTATTAATTCAATTTATATTAATTTTAAGTNATTTAGAATCTTAGTGTTAATTACAAAAATATCACAGATTTAGATGACGAGGTATTATACAGACTGGAATGTACCCATGAAAATCCTAGTTGTTACATTGGTAAAATAGGTCAGGTATTAAATAAAAGAATTAAAGAGCACAAAGCAGCAATCAGGCTTATACACAATCAATCACTATGATATGAACATTCAATGATTATTAATTGCAAAATCAATAGAAATAAGGTTAAATTATTATATAAAGAGACTGATATATATAAAACAAATATTTAAAGAACATATCCAAATTAAAAAACATTTTAAAAATAAAAATTTAATTAACATATCAAGGTGTACAAATCAATAATGTAAGGTATGACATAATAGAGGGCATAATGTTAAAATAATAAGTAAAACAGCATTATTATGTAATAAGATAGTAAAATGTTATTTTAATAGTGTGAAATAGTAAATGTCTAAACTAAGTAATTATGTTTTATTATGATTCTATTGAACAAAAATTAAGTATTAAGGTGAATATGAATATTTTATTTTATATAGTATTTGTTTAACATTACAGATAAGGGAGAGGTCTTTTAACAAATTTTTAAAATATATGTTCTGAATGTATTTGAATTCAAAAACTGTCTAAACTATTTATTAACTTTCAAGTACTAATAACATTATTGTTTAAAAATAAAAATAGTTTATGATGATATGACGACTTTTATTTACAATTAGCATTGAAGAGGAACAAAAATATACATTGTTCGAAAATGCATTTGTAACAATAAATTAAACAAATAAAGTCATTGTCATTGAAACCTTTGGATGTTAGAAGTGCTGTATTGAAATTTTCAAACTTATTTCTAAGATTTACAGAATAAGAAAGATAAAAGTTACTAGATAAAAAGATTTTTAAAGTTAGGCAAGCACAAGCAAATGAAAATATCAAATTTTTACAAAAAAATAGAAAAATCAAGATGTTGCCAATATTTGTGATTAAGATCAACAGGAAAGCCCAGAAGAGAATGATATTTTGCAAAAAAGAAAATATCCTCATTTAATTGTGTTTAGCAGTGAAGAAAAAATTAATATTAATATTCAATACTTTTGATTGTGATTGTTAGTTAATTGGGCTTCAATTTGAAAAAACTGTAGACCTATAAATTCCCACTGGTGCCCTTCTGTCTGTCTTTCATTATTCTCAAGAACAATGTTAAGTAAATGAAATTCAAAAACAGATAGGGAAAGCTTAGAGTAGGAGGCCCTGATTAACTATATATGAACTTCAGATTCAAACTAGAAGTAATGATTTATTTCAATTCAAATATCCCTCCCGTAAAGAGCTACATAGATCACCAGCATGACTTGATTGTTAAAGGAAAAGTATGATGTGCAGGGGCAAGCCACTACTAATTTGAGGTGGAGAGCATATATTTTAAATCAAATAAATTAAAAATTGCCAATCACCTGTAGTAGTGATCCAAGGGACCATTAAAGCCCAGAGGTACGTTAGTGACATCCTGCAGCCATATGTGTTGCTCTCATGGCAGGGCTCGCAAGAGCCATTTTCCAACAGGATAATGCTCGACCACACACAGCAAGGGTGTCATTGGATTGTCTCTGCCATATTGCCACACTTCTCCCAATTTGTCACCAATCAAACATGTCTGGGATCACCTGAAATGCCAAGTTGGACAGCCTGAAATTTGGTCGAACAAAAAGACAACTTGCAACAACTGTTAACTGTGATGCCACAGGACCCTATACAGGTATGCCAGATGTCCCACAATGCACAGGACAGTCCCGCACAAGAGTGATTTGTCCCACTCCCGTAAACATTTAAATGTCTCGCAGGTAAAAACTTAACAGATTTTGACTATAAAATAATAAAATAATGTCATAAAAAGTGATGGATCTGTTATGAAATGTATTTCTTTCCTAATATGTATGAATTTTGGACATTGGCAGTTGAGTTGAATGCTAATGGTCATGGGATGTGTTAATGTCAGGGAATCCCCTTGAGCCACTCAGGGATTTTTAGATGTAGGCATCTGCGTAAATAGTGCGGTCAATGATGTTAGTGCTGTCTGGTGTGATTTTTAGTCTAATGATGAGGGTTTGGCATAAAGATAGAAATAGGTTAATTCTAAAAAAATTGGAGGATGAGCTGATGGTGTAAGGAACCAAGTCTGAGCGTTATTTTTAGTTACTTTTATTTTTGCTTTTTTATTCTCTTTTTATTTGGGGCTTATGTTTTATTAGGATGAAGGTTTCCTCACTACTCACCTTAGAAACTTAAGAATAGAAGAGAAACCAACTCACCGACGAAAGAAAAGCGCCATAGATAAAACTCGCACACACTTGTGCTCCTGAGTGGAAAAAAGTAAGTCCGCACCAAGAAAAGGGCGGAGACCCCAGAAGCATAACTTAGGAATTTGCTAAACCTTAAAGAATAAAACATCCTGAAAATTGTCAAAAAGAATAATGTAAAAGGTTAGCGAGTATTGTTGGAAAATAGGCTGCCAGGCAAACAGGAAAAGTTTATTGTTAGCAATAAGTATGTAAATGAGGGGAGTGATCTCACTCAGAATTGTGACGTCATCTCACAGTATAAAGACCGAACCTCAAGTGAAGATGACTGAGCTGAGCTTCTGTTAGCAACGAGCGTGGTGAGCTTCGTAGCAGCAAATGAGAGAGGTGTCCGATAGGATAAAGTAGTTCCAAGGTGATTTTGAAGTTATTCGATTTGTGGATCAAAGATTAGAGAAAGTCTTGAGAGTTGAGAGAAAAGGTTCCTAGTATATTGAGGTGACGATTAGGACCTTTAATTCATAAGAATTGTTGTATGTAAGTTAAGTCTTTGAATTTTTTGTCGACTTCCAAAGGGGAATAGATAAGTTAGAAAATAGATTGATTTGAGTTTTGTTGGGTTGATTCTTATTGATTTACGTTAAATAAATTGTTATTTGATTTTTACTAAATTTTGTATATAGTTATTACTAGAATTTTTATTAAATATTGGATTGTTTTTGACTAACTTTGTCATTATTTAATTCAGTGCATGCTTAAAGTCCAGGCCTGGCACATTAACATGAATCTGCGTAAAGTACTCGTTAGGTAACAGCTATTTCCGGCACAAAGACGTGTCGATAATCGTTGAAAAAGGCGGAAAAATAATATAGTACTTTACAATGGTAATACAGAATTTCAGAATGAATTGTTCAGAATTCCAATTTTTTTAAAAATCAAGGTTTAGTCATTCTTAATGAAGTGAAATCAAGTGATAAATATTGACTCAATTATTTTTGTTGTTTTTTTATAAGATATGTTTTTAATGGCCAAAATGAAGTTTACAAATTAAAAATGATATATCAAAATTGTTAATTGTGAAAAAATTTTCTTCAGAAAACTTGTCACAATGTTTTCATTTTTGTCCCACAAGACCTAATTTGAAATCTGGAATCTGGCAACCCTGACATCATATGACACTTGTATGCCTTCATGCCCATCCATATCACATCGTGTATTCACACTAGAGATGACCCAACAGGGTATTAGAATCTTCTTTAATTTGTAGTTTTTCCTGCAATAAATGATCCTTTTGCTTTCATATTCTAATCATTTACTTATATCACCATTATACTCACATTATACGTACAATTTTGTTTGTTAAATTCTGACAACTCCTTCTTGGTGCACCAATTTTTAATGGCAATGAGTGTATATATTTGTTATATTTTTAATGTTTTAAATTATTAAATTGTTGTTAAATGATATAATGAAAAATTTATGGTTAATAAATAGTACTTACTTCCCATCAGGAATGCTTCCAACAGCTGCAGTACACATAACCAACCATCCAAGTCCAAACAATAAAATGATTACTCTGTAAATATGCAAGTGTAAAAATATACAATTGAAAAATCTGATTTGTATTTTTGTCTATGAGAAATGATTTCTCAATATGAAACTATTTGAAAATCCAATAAAAGCCAATTTTATTTTTAAAAATGTATCTGTCCATGCAATGTCAGTTTTTGTAAGATCACTGAATATCTAATAAATAATATATAGCTTCATAGAGTTTTACAATAGAATTTTTTAAAAATTGATAACCTCTTTGTTATTACATGAAAAAGTTAAAAAGGAAAAAGCAATTAACTAATGCTTATCAACATTAAATTATTTTTTAAAATAAAATTTTAATTATTATTATTTATTATTATTATTATTATATTTATATAAGTTCTGCATGGAAAAGTATGGGTAGTGATATGGAGATAGGGAAAAACAAAATACACATCGGAAGATCATTGATTAAACTACTTTTTTTTTTTATCGTTTCCTTTCTATTTGATGAACCAAATTACGATGATTTTTAAGTATAAAGTTATCGTAATTTAGCACATAAAGTAGAAAAGAAGCGATAAAGAAATAGTTTAATTAATGTTTTTCCAATGCATATTTCGACGTTTAACCAAGTTTTCTACGTGTTAAAAGCGTTATAAAAAGCTAATTTAACCTGTCTAATGGCCAATTGAGAATTGGCCAAGTGTTACCAGATGAACTAAATCATTAATAGCAAAGCAAAGATCGATCGATATTGCGGAATCGAGTCTGATTAGCCAACATGTACTGATAACACTTCCCTCCTCCTCATCCTCTTCTCCTTCTTCTTCTCCTCCTCCTCCTCCTTCTCCTGCTGATGCTCTTCTTGCTCTTCTCTTCTCTAGAAGCACTTAAATGTGAAAACCACAAGATAACTCTCCTCATTTATAATTAATGCTACTATATTAATAAAATGACAAACTGTTACAAGATTTCTGTGGCGAGAAAAATATATATTTATGTATATATATATATATAAAGCCTTATAATTACGGTAGTTTGCTATAAAAATAAAAATTCTTAAGAAATTTATCATTACGTGAGACTGTAAAGCGTGAATTTCGATGTAATTTTAAATGAGTTTTCTACTTAAAAATATAATTTTTAACTAATTTTATTATGATTTATAAAGTGAAATTCTCATTTTTGTATCATCGAAATGTTTAATTTAACCAAGGATTTATTTATTTTATAATACATATATATTTATTATTATTATTATTATTATTACGTACGAAAAATATGAGTTTATAACGTGAACTTTGATATTTTCTAACGTATTTAAATGTCATATTTATTAAAATTAACATGAGGAATAGTTAATACGTGCCCGGGCATTTATCCCTACTGAAATTAATTTAAGAGTAATTTCAATATAACTTATTATTTATTAATTATATTCTTTAGCCAGATGATAATTATCTATAATGACGTTTAATTATATGGAGAATTTATTTATTTTACTTGATAAAAATTCCATCATTTAAGGTTTATATAAAATTGATAAATTTAACAAGTTAATTTAATTGTAAAACTAATTTTAATTAATTATAAAGTCGATTTGATAAATTTGATTTTTATTCAAATATAATCATCGATTTCGATTCAATTGTTCGAGAATTTTGTGTTGTGACTAATCTCGAATGAGTCTTCTTGGTTGACAAATTATTATTAAAATCTTTCTCTTCCTGCTTAATTTAAACAACGATTAAATTTAAGGAAATATTATTGAAATGCTAATATATTCGCATAAATTCTAGTTATACAGTAAACAATCGATGTATTGTGTACAAAGTGAAATCAAACACTATCAATATTTACTTAAAAACGTTTGAGTTTTCGAAAATATCTCCTTTTAAATGCGTTTTCATTTTATTTTAATTCTTTCTCGACATTTAAATATTTCTGTTACGTATCTGTTACGTTTAAAAACAAAAATACTACGATTTTTATTGTTACGAATGTGAAATCGATCGGTATTGTGTTACGTCACAATACTTTTCGCTTGTTTTCTTACGTATGTGAAATTGATGTTTAATGTTACGTCACAATACTTTTCGCTTGTTTTCTTACGTATGTGAAATTGATGTTTAATGTTACGTCACAATACTTTTCGCTTGTTTTCTTACGTATGTGAAATTGATGTTTAATGTTACGTCACAATACTTTTCGCTTGTTTTCTTACGTATGTGAAATTGATGTTTAATGTTACGTCACAATACTTTTCGCTTGTTTTCTTACGTATGTGAAATTGATGTTTAATGTTACGTCACAATACTTTTCGCTTGTTTTCTTACGTATGTGAAATTGATGTTTAATGTTACGTCACAATACTTTTCGCTTGTTTTCTTACGTATGTGAAATTGATGTTTAATGTTACGTCACAATACTTTTCGCTTGTTTTCTTACGTATGTGAAATTGATGTTTAATGTTACGTCACAATACTTTTCGCTTGTTTTCTTACGTATGTGAAATTGATGTTTAATGTTACGTCACAATACTTTTCGCTTGTTTTCTTACGTATGTGAAATTGATGTTTAATGTTACGTCACAATACTTTTCGCTTGTTTTCTTACGTATGTGAAATTGATGTTTAATGTTACGTCACAATACTTTTCGCTTGTTTTCTTACGTATGTGAAATTGATGTTTAATGTTACGTCACAATACTTTTCGCTTGTTTTCTTACGTATGTGAAATTGATGTTTAATGTTACGTCACAATACTTTTCGCTTGTTTTCTTACGTATGTGAAATTGATGTTTAATGTTACGTCACAATACTTTTCGCTTGTTTTCTTACGTATGTGAAATTGATGTTTAATGTTACGTCACAATACTTTTCGCTTGTTTTCTTACGTATGTGAAATTGATGTTTAATGTTACGTCACAATACTTTTCGCTTGTTTTCTTACGTATGTGAAATTGATGTTTAATGTTACGTCACAATACTTTTCGCTTGTTTTCTTACGTATGTGAAATTGATGTTTAATGTTACGTCACAATACTTTTCGCTTGTTTTCTTACGTATGTGAAATTGATGTTTAATGTTACGTCACAATACTTTTCGCTTGTTTTCTTACGTATGTGAAATTGATGTTTAATGTTACGTCACAATACTTTTCGCTTGTTTTCTTACGTATGTGAAATTGATGTTTAATGTTACGTCACAATACTTTTCGCTTGTTTTCTTACGTATGTGAAATTGATGTTTAATGTTACGTCACAATACTTTTCGCTTGTTTTCTTACGTATGTGAAATTGATGTTTAATGTTACGTCACAATACTTTTCGCTTGTTTTCTTACGTATGTGAAATTGATGTTTAATGTTACGTCACAATACTTTTCGCTTGTTTTCTTACGTATGTGAAATTGATGTTTAATGTTACGTCACAATACTTTTCGCTTGTTTTCTTACGTATGTGAAATTGATGTTTAATGTTACGTCACAATACTTTTCGCTTGTTTTCTTACGTATGTGAAATTGATGTTTAATGTTACGTCACAATACTTTTCGCTTGTTTTCTTACGTATGTGAAATTGATGTTTAATGTTACGTCACAATACTTTTCGCTTGTTTTCTTACGTATGTGAAATTGATGTTTAATGTTACGTCACAATACTTTTCGCTTGTTTTCTTACGTATGTGAAATTGATGTTTAATGTTACGTCACAATACTTTTCGCTTGTTTTCTTACGTATGTGAAATTGATGTTTAATGTTACGTCACAATACTTTTCGCTTGTTTTCTTACGTATGTGAAATTGATGTTTAATGTTACGTCACAATACTTTTCGCTTGTTTTCTTACGTATGTGAAATTGATGTTTAATGTTACGTCACAATACTTTTCGCTTGTTTTCTTACGTATGTGAAATTGATGTTTAATGTTACGTCACAATACTTTTCGCTTGTTTTCTTACGTATGTGAAATTGATGTTTAATGTTACGTCACAATACTTTTCGCTTGTTTTCTTACGTATGTGAAATTGATGTTTAATGTTACGTCACAATACTTTTCGCTTGTTTTCTTACGTATGTGAAATTGATGTTTAATGTTACGTCACAATACTTTTCGCTTGTTTTCTTACGTATGTGAAATTGATGTTTAATGTTACGTCACAATACTTTTCGCTTGTTTTCTTACGTATGTGAAATTGATGTTTAATGTTACGTCACAATACTTTTCGCTTGTTTTCTTACGTATGTGAAATTGATGTTTAATGTTACGTCACAATACTTTTCGCTTGTTTTCTTACGTATGTGAAATTGATGTTTAATGTTACGTCACAATACTTTTCGCTTGTTTTCTTACGTATGTGAAATTGATGTTTAATGTTACGTCACAATACTTTTCGCTTGTTTTCTTACGTATGTGAAATTGATGTTTAATGTTACGTCACAATACTTTTCGCTTGTTTTCTTACGTATGTGAAATTGATGTTTAATGTTACGTCACAATACTTTTCGCTTGTTTTCTTACGTATGTGAAATTGATGTTTAATGTTACGTCACAATACTTTTCGCTTGTTTTCTTACGTATGTGAAATTGATGTTTAATGTTACGTCACAATACTTTTCGCTTGTTTTCTTACGTATGTGAAATTGATGTTTAATGTTACGTCACAATACTTTTCGCTTGTTTTCTTACGTATGTGAAATTGATGTTTAATGTTACGTCACAATACTTTTCGCTTGTTTTCTTACGTATGTGAAATTGATGTTTAATGTTACGTCACAATACTTTTCGCTTGTTTTCTTACGTATGTGAAATTGATGTTTAATGTTACGTCACAATACTTTTCGCTTGTTTTCTTACGTATGTGAAATTGATGTTTAATGTTACGTCACAATACTTTTCGCTTGTTTTCTTACGTATGTGAAATTGATGTTTAATGTTACGTCACAATACTTTTCGCTTGTTTTCTTACGTATGTGAAATTGATGTTTAATGTTACGTCACAATACTTTTCGCTTGTTTTCTTACGTATGTGAAATTGATGTTTAATGTTACGTCACAATACTTTTCGCTTGTTTTCTTACGTATGTGAAATTGATGTTTAATGTTACGTCACAATACTTTTCGCTTGTTTTCTTACGTATGTGAAATTGATGTTTAATGTT